CTCATCACTTAGGCAAAGAGTCCACACCTTGAACACGCTCCCAAACCACACCACACCCCGATCTCTTGCAAAGCAGTAGTCACTGACAACACTGACAACACCCACACCCAGCGGGATGGCTGCTACTGCTGCTGCTGTGCAACCACAAATAAGCCACAAAAACCGCAGGACACGCGTAGAATCATCATCATCATCATCGTGATGATCATAATATAATCATCAGTACGATTAGGGGGGGAAAAACCACAGAAAAAGCAGAAGCCACATGAAGGAATGGGAATAGGTGTCTGGCTGTGGCTGTGGTCGGTCATCAGGTATTCAGGTTTGAGGGCTGTTAATCCAGGCATCCTATGACGGCGGAAATACCAAAGAAAAGACTCTAAATTTCATTAAGAATTCCCGCGGCGCGTATTAAAGTCTAAACATGCCTAAAGAAGCCAGCCGCCAGCCAAAGTTTCCCCCGCTGCCGGAGAGAGGTGGATGATCAATGCCTAAGCATTGGATGATTAGCATCCGGTGGCCAGGACAGGACAGGACCTTCCTTCACCTTCAGCTTCGGTTCGACCAGGTAGGCCATCCGGACTTAGCGCCGCCGTGAATTTTGAATTTCCGCTGCTTATGACCGGAAGATTTTGCACCATGATTACGATTATGATTAAGCTAATGGCGGATATTTCCCCAGCCCAATCCAGAACATCGGACAACCAAACCAAGCCAAACCAACAACCCCTTGGCCGAGCGAACATCCTGCCAGCATTTCCCAGGAATAACAGAAATTTGTGTGGTGTGGCTGTGGCTGTGGCTCTGGCTCTGACTGTGGCTACAACTAATCTGCTAAATTGTCTAGGCAAAATGGAGATATAAAAAAAAAAAAACGAGTCGAGCGGAGTGGAGTGGAGTGGAGAATATGCGTATGTACGAGAGTGTGTATGCATAATAAGCTCTGAACCATATACAAATCATAAATTTTAATGAGTGGCGAATAAAACCAACGCCACCCCCTGCCAACCCCTATCGATGGCACCCCCGCCAAAAGACGGAGCAGGGTGGGTGCGGTAAAGTGCAGTTTCCGTGCAAGCGAGAGGTCGTGCAACATAGCTGCATCTCTCTCTGTCTCACTCTCTTTTTGGGTAAGCCACGCCCCCTGTTCATTGCTGCGCAGTCGTTCTCTCAGTGTGCGTGTGTGTGTGTGAATCCCCTTTTCATATTGGTCCTCTGCCGCTCTGCCGCATGCATATTCATGAGAGAGCAGCAGCAGCGGCAGCAGCGGAGATTGTGCCCCAGTATTGGTGTATCTGTGTGGGCACTGGTGTATCTGTTTATCTGTGTAAGAGTATGCGCATATTTCAAAGATTGAAGCCGCTTTATCAGCATTTTTACGGCACCCGGAGCCAACATATTTTCTTGAATTTCTTTAGCCCTTCGCTCCTTTTTCGGGTTGCACTTTTTTTTTTTTTTTTTTGGAAAAAATTGTATTTTTCTTGCTGCTTAAGTCCGTTGTCTCCTTCTGACCCTCAGTTACTCTGCTTGGTGCCGGGCTCAAGTGTCTGATTAGGTGCACTCCCCTGCACTTTAAAATAAATATTATTTCGGGGATTACTCTCCGCTCGCCTCCTCTGCTAGCCGCCGAAAGGATATTGAAACAGGAATTGCTAAAATTTAATAATAGGAGGCAATGAGCTGCCACATGTTTCCCCTCCCGTGGCCGTGGCATGTGTTGCAAATGCCAGATAGATAGGGAAGGGAAGGCAACCCCAACCCAACCCTCGGCTCTCCTCCGGCTCAAACGAAGCGTTGGCAGCGTCGTACGGCGGTGTCAACGTGCCGTTGAATGCCTCAAATTGAGCGTGGCAAATGGGCGAGACAGTCCCCAGTCCCCAGTTCCCATTTTCGCCTGATTTTGATTGTACTTTTTATATGTACTCTGATGTCATTAGAATATGGCAAATATGTTGCCCAAATTGACATGTTTTTGTGTGGCACGATCGTGTCGCAAATTGAAAATGGAATATTGTCAAGGCTCAAAGTTCAAAGAACTTTGTCGGAGTTCATCAAGTTAGAATTTGTTTGGTACATCGAAATAATAATGGCATAACAGAGCCAAACACTAATTTCCAATTTTCCATAGCCGAAAACTCAGTGTCAGATTTTTTGTATCCAGAGTTTCGAATAATAAAATCTAAGTTTTGGCTAAATAAATTTTTGTTTAGGCAATACACAGCAAAGTATCACCATTGTAAATCCATAATAGACCTAGATACATATACATATATGTACTTATCCATCTGTATGTATCTGCTCTGGAAGGCCCCTTTCAACTTTCACTGCATTTAGGGACGAAATGTTAAGTTGCAGTTGGAGAAACTAAAACAATATTTTCATAGGTCAAATGAGGTGGGATGGCTGCAGATGTATATGTAGACACAGATACAGAAACGAATTTACAGATCCGATAGATACGAGTGACAGATGCTGCTGATGTCGATGCTGCTGCTGCTGCACCGGAATGGGGCATGAGCCAGTGGCAGGCAGGGCCAGGCAACGGGACAGACAGGCAATGGCAACTCCGTAAAAATAACATGAGCTCTGCGAAAAATGCACAGACAAAAAAAAACACCCACAATCACACAGATACATACACTCACAATCACGGCGCCAATATCGAAGACAGAAATTTGTTAAATCAGCAGGAGGACACAGAAAAAGAAAACCTCATACCCCCCGAGGATGAAGGAGAACAATCGGAAATGGAATGCGCAAAAATGGAGCACAGTCCAGAGTCGACGCCTCATTCGAATTTCAAATGCGGCAGAGGAGGAGCAGGACTCTTTCTGACTCTATGGACTGGACACACAAACACACACACACACACATGATTACCATTCGCATTCACATTCAGCAGATCCAGCCATCCATCCAGCCAGCTCATCCTTCTCCGCTCCGCTGTAAGATCACATGCGAAAAATTATGTTAAGACAATAAAAATATTTGTCAAAATAATGCGATTGCGTTAATAGAGCCAAATATTATTCTTGTATCAATTACACAGACACAGGCACAGCCACAGACATACATAGATTGCGGAGAGAGCAGGAGAGCCTGGCCTGGAACCGGACTGACTTCATTTCAAATGCAGACACAGCGTTTTATATGTATCTGTAAAAAACGTGTTGTAAAAAACTATAGTAAGCATATATTTTTTTATTACGCAAATAGGGAATATCCACACAGATATGTATGCGTGTGTGTTTGTTGGTTCTACTTTGCGGTGTCTCTAATAACCAGACAAACACTCCGGACACTCGCCTCTCCGCGCGCATACACGCACTGGGCGCCCTTGCCCAAATAAACATTCATACACACACTCGTACCAGTACTCGTCGTAAAATTTACTTTAAAGCTGACAAAGTCAATACAAAAATATTGTTTCAATAAGCAAAATGAGTAAAAATAAAAAAAATACCAAATGATGCCTGCAAAAAAAGAGAGAAAAAACCGCAGAACCAAGGGCAAGGACTACTCGGGGGCAAGGCAGTGGAAGTGGAGATGAGTTCTTATGTGTGAATGGAATGTATTCGTATCTTTATCTGTGCACTTGGGGTTAGCAGGTCACTGAGCTGGGGATGATGGATGCGTGGAATAGAATGGGGGTGTCAATGGAGAGCGAGTCAAGGTGCAAGAGACATTAATTAAAGGAAAATAAAGCTAGCTTTAAAATTGAAAGAAAACAGCGAAGCGAACTTATTTACAGCATTAATAGAGTGCACTTTTCTGGTTGGAAAATATCTGTTGTTCATATGAATAATACCCTCTGAGAAGTTAACTAAATTAAGTCCACAGAAAATGTAATTTAATCTCTAACGTTTCAATAGCAGAAGTACCTATAATTTCTGAAATTTCCAAATCAAATTTAATATTTTCAATATCTTGCAGCTAGTAACAAAAAAAAAATTGAATGAGTCTTGCAAATTTAAGCGCCCCAAGAACAGAGAATTTCCAAAAATTTCGTTTTAATTCCTTTGGCCGCAAGCGAAAACAACCGTCAGATAAGGTTTGCCCCCAAACTTCCAGCCACATCTCCAATTTACCATCAAGCGGCAAATTAACAGACAACTGCCCCCGTTTCACCAGCTTGCGACCAACCTCTGCCCCTCCCCATGCCATTCAGTGGGGAGGGGGAAACCCCAACTTTAAGCTGAAATCGAAAAAAGTTTGCCCACTAATTTATGCCAGCATAAAAGTAAGAGGCACCGCAGCCATCAGGCTCTCCTGCCACAAGCCCATGCCACACACAAAAGCCAGCCACCCACTTGTACTGTTAGCTTTCCCAGGTGCCTCAGCCAACTCGCACTGTCTCTTTCTGGCGCGCACTAACCGCAGCCAGTGGGTGAGAGCGAGAGAGCCGTTTGCCTAGGCCGGCCGTATTTTAAGCATTAGTTTGAACAACAAAAACACACAGAAAGAGAGCGGGAGGAGAGCGGGAGGAGAGGAGACAGCAGGAGGATTGGCAACAACTATTTTCGCAGCAGAGCAGCAGACGCAGCAGAAGCAGCAGCAGCAACAGCAGAGTTTTCCCATTTCCCCCGTCGTTGGTGTAAGAGAGAAGAGGCGTACCAACAAAAATCATGAATGGCGTCCGCAGTACGGGTTTTCTCTCCCCCAGATACTTTTGTATCTGTGTGAGCACTGAGCAGTGTGTGTGTGTACTTTTGCTGTAGGTCTTCACTTACTGACTGCCGGGCCAGTATTGTTTGCAATCCATTCCAGCCATTCGGTGGTTGGCCACAGATACATTCACACTCACACTCACACTCACACACACACTCACTCGTACACTCGGCTGCAGATACATTTTTCGGTTTTGTATCTGCTGCGCTGCGCTCTCTGCTGGAAATCAACGCTGCCACTGCCACTGCCTCATGCGTCGCTTCGCGTCGCGTCGCTCCGACTCGAGTTGTATGTTATTTCAGTTACACAGATTCAGTATCCGACGTGTTACTATAGCGAACGGTTCGTTCCACGGCTCCTCGCACTGCGTCGCACACACACACACACACGAGCGATACTTTCCCTCTACATGTGTACATGTGTATATGGATATATCTGATTACACACGAGGAGAGTATATAGCCCAGCCAGTCAGCCAGCCAGTTGACTTGTTTAAGCAAATATTATCAGAACAAATAATAAGAAGAGTGAAGTGACTAAACAAACAACTAAATCGAGTGGCAGACAGCAAAAAAAAGAAGAAAGAAAAACTCCCACAAGGAGTGCGCCCGGTGTGGCATAGATCTTTAGCACAGATCTTGCACCAGCCAGAATCGTATCGTATCGCATCGCATCGTCCATCCTGCAGCAAGATGCACACTCTGTTCAGCGATCAGAACTCGTTCTCCCGCCACTACGCCCAGACGGCCGCCGGCTATAGCTCGGCCTCTGCGGTGGCGGCGGCCAGCAGTGCCTCAGCGGCGGCAGCCGCCCACTACGCCTACGACCAGTACTCGCGCTATCCGTACTCGGCCAGTGCCTACGGCCTGGGCGCACCGCACCAGAACAAGGAGATCGTGAAGCCCCCGTACTCGTACATCGCCCTCATTGCGATGGCCATCCAGAATGCGGCGGACAAGAAGGTGACGCTGAACGGCATCTATCAGTACATCATGGAGCGGTTCCCCTACTATCGGGACAACAAGCAGGGCTGGCAGAACTCCATCCGGCACAACCTCAGCCTCAACGAGTGCTTCGTGAAGGTGGCCCGCGACGACAAGAAGCCCGGCAAGGGCTCCTACTGGACCCTCGATCCGGACTCGTACAACATGTTCGACAACGGCTCCTTCCTGCGGCGGAGGCGTCGCTTCAAGAAGAAGGACGTGATGCGGGAGAAGGAGGAGGCCATCAAGCGGCAGGCGATGATGAACGAGAAGCTGGCCGAGATGAAGCCCCTCAAGCTGATGACCAACGGCATCCTGGAGGCCAAGCACATGGCCGCCCATGCGGCCCACTTCAAGAAGGAGCCGCTCATGGATCTGGGCTGCCTCAGCGGCAAGGATGTCTCCCATGCGGCAATGCTCAACTCCTGCCACGACAGCCTCGCCCAGATGAACCATCTCGCGGGGGGCGTGGAGCACGCCGGCTTCACGGTGGACTCCCTGATGAATGTCTACAATCCGCGGATCCATCACAGCGCCTATCCGTACCACTTGAACGACGACAATCTGGCGTCGGTGGCCAGCAGTCAGATGCATCACGTGCACCATGCGGCGGCCGCCCACCATGTCCAGCAGCTGCGGCACGTGGGTCACGTGTCGCATCCCCTCACGCCCGGCGGCCATGGGGGTGGCGGTGGAGCTGGCGGCGGACACAATAGTGGTGGCATCCAATCCTCGGGACACTCGCCCACTACGATCTCAACGCCGCATGGTCCGGCGCATGGTGGATGGTACACCCCGGAGACGCCGCCCTCGGAGCCCATACCCAACGGCGGAGGCGGACAGCAGGGCACGCCCACACACCCCGGCCACACCAACAATCCCAACAACCCCAACAATCCCAACAACAGCAACAACAACAGCTCGAGTGTGCACAACAACAACCACAGTCACAGCCACAGTCACAACAGTCACAGCCACAACGGAGGCGGCGCCTCGTCGGTGCTGACGAGCAGTCCGAGCTCCGCCTTGGGCTTCCGCGACATGATCTTCGAGCAGAACCAATCCTGCCAGCTGGACACTGGCAGTCCCACCGGCAGCCTCCAGTCGGCCAGTCCCCCAGCGTCCGCGAGTGTGGCCGCAGCCTCGGCAGCGGCCGCAGCGGCGGTGATCAGCAGCCATCACCACCATCATCATCATCATGCGCTGAGCGGGAATCTGGGGCAGCTGGGGCAACTGGGGCAGCTGAGCAACCTGAGTCACTATCGGCCCCACATGGGCCACTATCAGGAGTACGGCATCAAGTATGGCGTCTAGGGGGGATGTGGATGTCGATGTGGATGTGGATGTGGATGTGTGTGGCATGTTCCAAAGTCTAGCTGTAATCTCTTGTATATTCGTGTAAATATATTTCCAAGAACGATCCACAGCTCTAGAAAGTATCTCACTCAGTATCGAATTTATTGCAGAAATTGTTTAAATTTAAATTTAATTAAATTGTTTTCATTGCTTGAAACTACACAAAAATCGTATACGATGGCAAAGTTTTAGTTGTTGGTTTTATACGTAAACCCCTCCCTTAATAATAATAATAATAATTAAAATTAATATTAAAATACAAATAATAATATTAATTAATATGTAATAATTATTCGTAATTATTGTAATTGTAATTGTTATCACTGTAGGATTAGGGTACACCGTACACACTCTGCTATCACCATTGATAGATAGATTTATCGCTTAGATATCACCCACTTACTTATAAACCATAGCAGCTAGCCCACTTAAGCAATAATAAATTATACAGATTAAAATTAATAGCTACGAGTATAATATAATTATTGTATCCAATCCAGAAACAACAAGCAAACCCAACCCAACCCAACCCATATGAGCCGAACAAAAAAGTGTATTGAAAATATGTTAAAATATCAACAAATTGCATTTGTTTTATTTCCCCCTACCACCCGCAGACCCCACCACACAACTCGCACTTCATTCGAACTTCATTAGCATATCCATGCGGCTATCATCGATGCTAGACTCCAAGCTCTGTACTCCCCTCCACTCCATCTGGTTTTGTTGCGTGTTGGCAAACCAAACCAAACCATACTTTCATTCGAAATTCGATAGCTCACTGGCAAAATTCCTAGATAAATAATAATTCTAATTATTCAACGGTTTCCATTTCGAGAACTCAATGAATGAGTCACGGGAAACGAAAGAAAGTTTAGTGGGAAATTGTGATAGGAAGATGTTGGCTTTCCGCACATTTGATAGGTGATCGGATCAATCGAATAGAACTGAGCTGGGGGAAACACCTCTTCCCATAGCCTCTCATCCGCACAGATTTATTTTGCTGCAAGCAATTTATATACCATTGACAGTTCTTTGACTGTTTCTTTTGATTCTGATTCTTTATTAGTTTTTCTTCCTACATTTTTTTGGCAGATGAAAGGAACTTTTTATTGGCAATTTATAAAAGAAAATGTTAGCTTTCACTGCAGTCTAAAGTCAACTCGCAACAATGGTCGACAAATTATAAATCTTTAGCTAAAAAAACTAAAAACTATGATCTTGCCCCCATCCTCTAGCTTAGGGCTGCCTCTCTCCTAATTGGCCAACAATTGCAGCAAATTGGTAGAAAGTAAAACACAAAATAAAAAGTGTTTCAATGTGAAGTCAACCTGCGCAACAGTAATGATACGAGCATTGACAGCTTATTAGCCATCAAACCAGTTACCCAACCAACCAACCAGCCAACCAACCAGCCAAGAGATCGTTCGGATCCATCGATAGAGACATATGTACACAAATTGATGGAGCAATTGATTAATTGCCAAAAATAGTGCTGCTGCTGCAGCTTTTGCTTTGAATGATGATGATGATGATGGGGATGATGAGGATGATGAGGAGGAGGGAGCTTGTCATGGTCTCGTCTTGAGTCGCCCATTGTCTCGGCTGTCATGTCCGATCGCGACGCCATTGTCACTTGAGTAAGCCCCGCTTGGCGCCACTGTGGCATTGAGATCACCACCACTAGACGACGCAGACAACGATCCGATCTCTGGTTCGCTATTGATACCCGCACAGATACTGCTGATGTGGGCTAAACCTAAACTCTGCTCAGGTGTACCCCGCACTCGTACTCGTACTCCTACTCGTACTCGTACATGCCTAGAGCTTGTCCAAGGGCCCCATTGCGAGGGGCTATGCTATTGTTTTCAATGGCGAACGCGGCTTGAAATTCAATCGAACGCAGTACCCCATACCTGTCTGGGTGGCATATGAATGGGGGAGGGGGAGGAGGCTGCTCAAGTGCGTTCGAAAAGTGTGCCAAAGTCTGTAGGCCTGAAAGTGAGCTTCAAATGGGTTGGCAGCTCGAAGACAACACTGAGCTACAAAAGTTAGACAGCTTGATCGCTAGGGAAACTATAAAGATGTCGCGTTTGACGTAATAATATCCTCGTTGATTCGGAAGGATCTTCCGCTGGTTTCTCTCCCTCACTTGGGTGTGGGCTCCCGCAGCATCCTTCTAGTCCTGATATTTAATCCTGATTAATTTCTGTATCTTCTCATTTGTATCTGTGTATTTTTTCTGCTGCACAGTGTTTTGGAGACTCTCTTTTGACTGCGGACGGCGGGGTTTTGGTATGCAAATTCAGCATTTTCGTCCCCGAAATTTTCGAGCCTCTGCTGCTGCGGCTGCTGTTGCGTTGAGTCCGTCCATTCGGTGTCAAAAGCAACAAAATTAAATGCGAAAACAACAAAAAAAAATCCATAGAGAGAGAGAAAGAGTGAGCGAGTGAGAGTGAGAGGAAAGTATATGTTTTGCTGTGGTGCACAGCCGTCGCAGATTGCGCGGGTGGTCTCTGTCCAATCTGGGGTCTGGTCTGGTCTGTTCCACAGGCGGAGGAGAGGAAAGGAACAAGAAAAACAAATGCGCTGGCGACAAAATGTTGCACTGTTTGCTTAGCGATAAGGACGTGCACACACACACAGAGACACACAGAGACAGAGACCATCGTGCAGCGGCAGGACAACAATGCCAAATGCCCAATAATCAAATCGAGTGAAAGAGTGACAATGGGGCAACAGCAGGGGCAAGGAGCAGCAGCAGCAGCAGGCAGGAGCAGGAGGGGTAGCTCACAAATATTGACAGCTGTCTGTGGCTCATCGTGGAACCAGCCCGCGATTTACATAAATATTATTGCAAGCCTAATTAAATGCAAGTATTAGCCATCCATCCAGCCATCCATCCATCGGGCCATGCAACGCAACCAACTGCCAAATGCGAGACCAGACCCGGCATTGTCTGCCGCATACTCGTATCTATTGTGTGCACGAGTATCTATGGGATGGATGCATTGTGTGACTATGACTTGTCGCCCGGGGAGGATCCTTTGTAATTAACGCTGCTTATTTTTCGCGCATATCCCACTTGCAGAGTGGAGTCCCCTAACCACCTACCAAACACCCAGCCCCACCCCCTTTCCACTTGATATTTATTTACCTGTTGGCCAGTTGTGTTGATGACCTGTTATCATTGCCCCGTTATAACAATAAATTCCATGGCCAGCGTGCCCCAACAATGGCGACAACCGTCCAGCCGCGATGCTTGTCGTAGTATCCCACAGTTGTAGTTGTAGTTGTAGTTGTTCTTGCCACGGTTTGCCATTGTTTTGGCAGCTGTCGTTGCAATTAACCAGGCTATAATAGACAATGGCTCTAAAGTAAATTTATACCACCGCCACATATACATACAAACATATGTACATACTGTACGGCTATCAGCATGATGAAATTCGTAAATTGATGTGGGAAAAAATGCTCTCAAAGGCACTTAAAATGTCATGCCCCAAGATGAAATTACAAACGAATATGAAATGAATTATGAAAACAAGTAGATAAATATATAAAGTACTGTGGGATCCAGAGATATAACTTAGAGTTTTCAGGGAGCGTAGTTTTATTGTAAACTCAAAAGATAGCCCTAGAAATTCCATAGTAAAATGTGTGAAAATCCTCAACTAGGGATTATTAATATAATATAATTCTACTCCATGAAGAACGCGTATTAATTAATAATTAATTAATCTAATTACCTTCTCGACACTTGCAGAGTTTTTTTCTTTTCAAAGAACAAAAAACAGCCTCACTATTATAATGAAAATATTGATTACAAATATGACACTTGTACACTTTTGCTTGAGCACCCAAAGAAACATAAAAAAATCTTTATTTCTTAGATCTTTGTAACCCAATTCCCTGCAACATTTTCATGACCGATTTGAGATTGATTGCTTTTCGCTCACAAGTTCTGGAAACTGAAGTTGAAGTTCCTTTTTGGGTTGGGTTGGGTTGGAGTTGGAGCCACCACAATGGCATTGAGTAAACTTCCGCTGCTTATTCTTTGTTTCCCTTACTTCAGATATAGTAGTATACTTCAGAGTATACGAGTGTAGAGGAGGAGGCCATAAAGCTATGGCCGAGTTTTAGTGCTCAACCGATGGATGTCTGCTGGATACCCGCCCGCCATAGCCGCCGAAGCGACTGCATTTTTATGGGATTAAACAATCTTTGAGAGCGGAGCAGAGCAGAGCAGTGCAGAGCGCATGTTTTCGAACACTTTTGAAGTTTTATTGAGTTATAAATACGCAGAAATGGCTTTGGAGTTAGCCAGGGCAGCAAAATTTTCAAATTAAATTTATGATCGATTTGTGCAAAAAAAAATGCGACGGGGGGTAAGGCCACGCCACGCCACGCCACACCACAAACTGCAGCGCCAGGCGTCGGTTGATATTTGAGTAAATTATCCACTAGAGAGTGAGAGAGGGGAAGAGCACACACACGCGAGAGAGAGAGGGAGAGAGAGGCATAGCGTCTTGTGGGTTGCATCCAAGTTTTTGCAACACCACACAAACTGTTGCAAGCAGTGGAGTATGGTGGGGGAGGGGGGCGAGTGGAAATTTTTGATTGACTGTTGCGCTTGAAATGCTTTGATCTGTCGATCAGATCAGTCATGCTGCCCAGGGACGCCAACAGATGGCGCTCAACGAACGATTAAATGCTATACATATATCCCCACCCCCTTGCCTAGACCGACTCCTATTCCGATCTCGAATGGAGTTATCGTCTATGCTGGATTATCATCTATAATTCTGACTGATGCTTCGTTTATTTGCCTTATCATGGCTTTTGGGGCTTTGATGTCACTTTGGATACATCATCATCGTCATCGTCATCGGTAGCAGCATCCCCCCAAGTAACGCAGGAGGAGGGAAGCTCTGTTTATGCGTCAATCAGTCCTAGAAACGAGCTCGATCGTTTTTTCGGGGCATTTGATGCTGCCGCCCGAAGTTGCCAACCCAACCAGTTGAATGCGATGCGACATAAGCAAATAAATATATGTACATATATGCATGGCAAATACCAGAGAATTGCGATTAGCAGGGATCTAGATCCCTCTCGTAAACGTTTTCTTTTTCGCGCACATTCAGCACATTCAAAGTGCCAGAGGCCGCCGCCGCCGCTGCCGACACCATCGTCGTCTTCGTCTTCGTCGTCGTCGCTGTCTTAGGCCGAAAGTCAAATAATCAAAATCCTCCCATGCCCCACACCCCACACCCCCGTCCAGTATCCAATCTTTTGCGTACAAACTACTAAAATCCATTGTTTATTTTCGAATTTCGTTGGCCGTGTAAATCACGGAAACGACTGCTTCTTCCCAGCAACTCGTTCTGGCATTCCTTTGGACACCAAAGACAGACAGCCATCATGCCGTACCACACCACCATATCCATTGGTACTATGCATACCCATTCCCATTCCCATATCTGCTGCCTGGCCAGACATTTTGTCGACAATTTCCCTGGAAGTGGCCATAAATCAATTGCAAAAGCTTTCC